GGAACTTGACCATTCTCATACTGTCACTTGGAGAGAAAGCGTGAGGTTGTGGGCAGCCAAGGTATGCATTCTGGCTTCCTCATGATCTTTAGTCCCTTCCTTGCTCTTCAGGTGCAGCCTGGACTGGCTTTGGCACACGCTGCAGGATGATGGCATTGCTGTAGGCCTGGGCCATTTCTGGATTGTTCCATCTGCTCTGGTCCTGAGGGTTTGTTATTTTTGTTTTGCTTTCAAATGGGGAAAACTGGAGTCCTGAGAACAGAGAGGTGTGAAATGAGGAAGCTCAGAACTAGGCCTAGGGGAATGTGAAACATCATCGGGCACAGCTGGGGGCGTGGCTAACCCCCACCCTCCTGGCTGCTGAACGGCTCCTCAGCCATCGAGGCTATAAAAAAATTCCCTCCATTCCAGAGGCGGTCAATGAATATTTTATGCTCCTTGGTGAAGAGGCTCATCAGACCAGGCAGTTCTGCTGATGCAACCTGCACCCAGCCTAGACAAGCTCTAGAACTGGGTACAGGCTTTCTTCTGGCTCCCCAGGGCAATGACACTTGGTCTGTGCTAGGGCGGCAGAGTGCAGCGTGTATCCGATGGGCCACGAGACATGCCTATGGAGGCAGCAGTGTGCGGGGAAGGCAAGCCCAGCATGCCCACCAGCACCAGGCCTTCCAGGGAGCCCTGAGCATCCCATCTACTGCAACCATCGCCTGGGGGGCTGCGTCACTGCTGAGCTATTCACAGACCTAGGCTAAGCCAAAAACTTTACCTGACACACAAGGGGTATCAGGAAGTCATGTTGCTCCCATTGGAGCAGGACCACAGAAACCAGTAAAAGTGGGAAGTCCATCCTGCTGTTTCGTTTGCAAGAGAGTGCCTAACCTCCGGTATTGGTGTCCTGGTGAGATGTAGAGAAGCATGAAAGGGGCAAAGTTGGAAATACTAGTGAAATTGTCAACGTCGGGACATTCTTAAAATCTTGGCTTGTTAGAGCTTGCTGCCAGAAGCCTAGGATAGCAATGGATGTTTTCTAGTATGCAAAGTCCTGGTGGACCAAAATCAACAGCAGGGAAATAATGAAAAGGATGGTTCTGACATCCAACCAAAAATCCAAGTCACTAGCCCTTTAAAGCAAGGGACCACATCAAAGCCAAGTTCACATGAGGGCCAGATGCAGTCAAAACCAACCTTGTTTCAATCATTTTGCAGACCCTGCCATCAAGGGTGATAGTCTGTGGCTGACTTGGCACCAGTTCAGTAGAAGCCAATATGGCCTCTGATGCCAAAGCGGCCCAAGCTGCTGCACAGGCCCCTGGCATCACATAAAGAGGTCACATGACAAAATCTTCCCTGAAGCAACTTTTTTTTTTAATTAGTTCATACACAGACAGATGTAAAATTGAGAATAATACAGTCCAAACCTTTAGAGCTACAGAACATTACACAACAGTATCTGTCAGTCGTTCTGCTAGACCGAAACCTAAATTAGAGCACTATGAATCTTCACAGCATCTCAAGCGTATTCTACTGATCTAGTTGTGTATGGTAGTCGGGCTGTAACTGTACAAAATTCTGATGTTTTTGTTTGGCATTTGGGCTGTACCCTCAGCATGGAGCAGCAACACTGCCCTCCCTGGCTACCCTACCCCAAATGTGCCTACCCTACCCCAAAGGCCCCTTCCATAGCATCTGTCTAGCCCAGCAACAGGGACATCCACAGATTCCCAAAACAGACTCAGATCTGACTCATTTACATCCAACTCACAATATAGAAGCTACAGCACAAACCTTCTAAGCCTGAAAGTTCCTTATAGTGCAAAAGCCCCTTGGGCTACAGCTCACAACTGCCAAGGAAAGAAAGAAAAAAAAACACCCACCCATCCCCCCCCCCCCCACACCCCCATTTTGCTATCAGGCGGATGTCAACATTACTTAGAGGAAATCTGTATTCCAAGTGCTAGAACAGGAGCTGAGAAAATAGCTTATAACTCAAGCCTGGAGTGACCTTGATTTTCATGGACAGAAAGATTAAGAGAAACTAGCCTTGGTGGTGGGGGCCAGACCCAAGCGCAGAGCTAGCTTGGCTGTGGCTTCTAGCAAGCATCACACCTGACCTCAGCCATCACAGCCTAGGTGTACTGTCTCATCATCTAGCAAACACCTAGCAACCCCCCCAGAGAGGCCTTGAAGCTCTTGGATTCTTACCCATACCACGTTCCTCCCCACAGCTAAACACAAAAGCTAAAACTTAGGCAGGACTATGGCCTCCTGTGGCCCTTGAGGAGCCAAATGTGAAGCTATTCACACAGATAGAGCTGGGACAAAGCCTACAGCACATGAAGGATCCCTTCCTAGATGAGGATCTCTGAGCATCTGGTTGCAGAGATCAGATGCACAGAGGCTGGACACAAGATGCACGGTCCTCATCCCATGACTACACTGCCAGACTGCTCCGTGTGAGACACCCAGGTGACACAGCAGTGCCTTGCGGGTGAGATGGTTGGGCCTGCCACCAATTCATGGTGCAGTCCACTGCAAAATGGCCAATGCAGTTCTCCTACACAGCCAGCTCACCTCTACTTCCAGGCACTTGATTCTTCAAGCAATAAAGATGCAATCCAGCAATTCCCTTCCATCCAGGCATGAGCAGCACCTGTGGTTAGACACTGGCATCCATCACTTAAGGTACACAACAACCTGACAAGCGTGACAGAAGGGCACATACATACAGTCTTTGCCCATCCTTACAGATCTTCCATTAGCCAAACTGCATTTGTCAGAAGCACCACTTCAAGTTTCTCAGTGTAACTGTTCTTACAAACAACAAAAGAGCCAAGAAGTTTCTTACCAGTAAGTAGTGCTCACCGTTCTTCCTTCAATCCCATTCAAAAAGTCTAGGGCAGAGAGAAGCTGGAGGTGTTGGCAGGCAGCATGGAATTACTGCCACACAGACAGTAGTGACAGGGCAAACCTTGAGCAGATACTCTTAGACATGTAATTTTTTTTAAAGTTTCCCAGTGATAAAGGTATCAAAGTTCTCCAAGACCTTACTACATTTGCCACTGGATTTTTCTGACCCAATATCTAACTAAACTATTTCTTGCTCCAGACATCATTATTATTCACAGCCACAACAGACCTGTGACAGTTCCATACTAACTACACCAGGGAGACACAGAGATGACCCAAGTGCAAAGCTCTCCTACGTGCTTTAAGATTTATCGTGCTCTCTCTCTAGTGCAAAGCAAATACCAACACAATTCCTTCTGTCCTTCCTAGCAAGCCAGGCTTTGTAGAGCTTGGATCATCCTCTCTGTTCTCTTCTCATGGGTCTACATCTTCCCTGAAGTGTGATATACAAAACCAGGCACACCATTCCAGGTGAAGTCTTCTAAATCCAGGGTGGAAAGGAAAGATGACTTTTATCCTCAGAGGCTGCACTCTCCAATGACTTGCTTCCTTTTTTTTAAACAGCAAAAATATTCCAATTACCATTTTACTATTTTTTTTAAATGAACAATACATCCCCATTCACTCATGTTCTTCCAACCCAGCCCAATCAATGCTGCCCCAAGTTAATTTGCACCAACTCACCTAACCATAGCCCCTTTTCTTCATAGCCATTTTGACTGCCCTGCTTTACAGCAAGTGTACGGTTTTGAGTGTTCTGTATGACTAATAACTTCTTTTAAACTTTAGATTTCATAACAACTCTTGAAAATAGCTCACTTGATCTCACTTAAGACTCTTCCTTCATAGGTGCATTTGTGGCACAGAATTAGCATACAGAGGTGATAGCACAGCTTCTAAATCTCTTTAGTTTCAATGCAGTTAACCTGTGAAGTTCTCTGTGAAATGAAATGTAGATGCATTATTTTGTGTCTAGTAAGTAAGTTCCCATAATATCATTACTTCTGCCAACTAACATTCTTTTTTTATTAACACTATTATCTTCCCTAAATACTTCTCCCTTGAAGTTCTATGGGAATGGGATTAAATTTTGTGAAATGATGATCTATCAGAAGCAACACAACTGGCAATGTTACTGCAGAAATTCAACAGTGTAAATGGCAGGAAGTTAACAGATTTCCAGCCAGGAAATTCTGATGAGCTCAGATACACAATCCTCTAATTTTTCATTTTAATTTTGAGTTAAAGCTCAAAATCTTATTAGAATCCTGGAAATCAGAATTGAGTAGTATATAAATCTTTAAAAAAATGCAAGTCCATAATGTTTCCTTCTCAGAGTTTCTGATATAATGCTGAGCCCATTAAATATCCTTTATTCCAGCATTTTAAGCTTGGTATAACTTCCCCAGTTATGAAAAACAAAATAGCAAGGAATAATAACCCTTATTAATTTTTCTCCAAATATAAAATCAAACTATTATTGAATCCAGAGCATACAAAACCACCCCAATATGAGAACTCTTAGCCCAGTGTTAACTTTTAAATCCTATTCTGTACTTAAAAACTGCTCATGAAATATACGCCTTATATATTTTAATTTCTAATTAAGAAGTTAAGGCTTTATATATTCTTACCCATTTCAACTTTATCAACAGCACTGTCAAATATCGCTGTGTATTAGTCTGCAGGATTAGTAAAAAGTATTATATATTGCAGGTGCACATTAATTTACATGGAAGATAATGATTAGAAATATCACTTATCTCAAAATATTGTTAGAATGACTAGAGATTTCATGTAGCAGCAGACATGCTGAAATGCATATGGTCTTGGATTTATAGCTGCAAGAAAAATACATTTTGAGTGCAGAGTTTAATCATTACTCTTGTGCTTAGCAGCTTCAGATCAATTCTCTCTTTCAAAAGAAATATTAATTCTTTATATTCTGTATATACATTGTCTGTAAACCTACCAGTTCAGTGTGGGTTTTTCTGAAGGTCCACTGATTTTTAAGTCTTTACATTGTTATCACACAACTGCACTAGCAGCTCTCCAACACAAAAATACACCTTCATTCTTCAACACACAAATGGGTAGGATGGTATAAGATTTATTAATATTTTCTTTTACTAAGGCACATGACATATAGAAGTAGAGGTACAAAAATGCAGTTTCCCGCACGAGATTTAAAATCCAATTTTGACAAAGATGAGCTACATATCTTCTGCTCAGAACATTCAGCTTTTAGCCATTTTTTTCTTTTGTACCAGTTCAACAAGCAACTTGTATCTTGCTATACACTCCTCCTAAAAAGGAAAAACAAAACAGTCAATTAAAGCTTGGTATTTTAGTACTGTTTTTATACAGGCTGCCTCATTCTAGAAGAAGAGCAAGGTTCTGGGGGTTGTGTGTTTTTTTGTGTTAAGCTGCACACTGAATTTCAGAAGGAGAATATGTCTAGTGAAGAACGCATTAGAAAAATGAACTTGCAACTTCTGTCTCTTAATGGATAATTTCCCTCTTTAAAGAGCACAGAAATTCAACAGTTGCCCAGTACTTCTTGACAACGACTGCAAAAGCAATTGTTAAAACAGCTGTACTATGGTACCTGCTTCAGAACAGTTATTCTGGCACAAGCCACAGTGCAGATAGGATAAGACAAGCCTTTGTGGTCACTAACATAGTACCTACTGACACCAGATACTGCCCAACAGCTTCAGAGAAACACTCAACCCCCACCACGTTTCCTACTCTCTCACACTGCGTTTGGCACAAATAAAACTTGGGTTTTCTGCAGCTACAATGACTGAAGCAAGCAAACTAAGCTATCACAACCATTACAAAATCTAGCACAGACCAACTCTATCAATGACAACGCTATTTGAAAAAGATTATACTTACAAAAAGAACATTAGACAGATTATTGAGCATCTAACACTTGCAGATGGATTATTTATTTTGTTTGTTCATTGAGATGGGTTGAGAAAGGTATTGTACAAGTGAAAGCAAAGCAGCTCACCAACATTTGGTTACTAACTTTGACTCAAAATTTGTTTTAAAATCTAATTTGTCCTGCAATTGAAGATCTGAAAGGCAGAGGAGAGGTAGGTATTTTAAATGGGACAGGAGATACTTCAACATTATCTGTAATAGATAAACTGAATTAAAAGAAAATATACTTTAAATAAAAACAACAAACATGACAGTAATGCTCTTTAGGTTGATTATGTCTGGACTGATAGGCTGAGTAAAGACCTCACCTTTCTGCACTGACCCTCAGTTCTTAAGGTAATCATAAACTGAAAATGCTTCCCATCAATTTATACTATAGTTCAAAAAAAACTAAGCATACCTTGCTTTTTCCAGGAACACATTTGGCTATTTTATCCCAGCGATCCGCTGTTCCCTTTGGGTACTGCTGCAAGGCCATTTCGAGAAGTTTCTGTTGATTTTGAGTCCACAGTTCTTCTGGGACACGGCTTTTCTCTTTTTTTCTGCTCTCATCACCACTCTCTTCCTCTTGCTCAGTGTTATCAAAATCTTTCTGACGTCTGCCTCTGCCCTTCTCTTCTGGTACCTCTTTTGTTGCTGGCAGAGTCATTTCAGGTGCTTTGACAATTTTTCGTTTGCGATATCTAGTTTCACTTGCCACAGTCTCCTTTTGATCTATTTGGACATCCATCTGCTCTGGGATATGATCGTAGTTCCCCATCTCCTCCTCTTCCTCTTCCCTTTCTCGCTGGGTGATTATGTGGTCTGGCAAATTCACGTTGACTTTGACATTCTTGGAATTCTGGGCCAGGGTTTTAAGCTCGGAGAGCCTAATGACACCTGTTAGAAGTATTGTTGTTATACTTCTGAAAAAATGAAACAAACCACAAACAAGCAGAGAACTGCCCACAAACAAAAGGTACTCAAGATAGCACAGAGGAGAAAAAGCTCTTCTGTATTAAGATCTTAAGGAAAATGCTTATCAAGAAATCAAGATATTTGCTAAGAAGCGATGAACTTTGCCAATATTGAGCTTATCTGTTATATGTGAAGTACTAGTAAATTACCACCCTGATACACGCAAACACAACAGCCTGAACAAAAGCCACAATAAACTGAGTAAGAAAGCCTGAGAGGATGTGGCTAAAGAAGGGAAACATTCCCTCACAACACTCATCAGATCTTCTCTTTGCTCCATGTAAGGTAAGGTTGCAAAGCTCTCTGCAAAGCATGCCCCGAAAGGTACAGAAAGGCTCTATTTGCACAGCTATAATCCAAATATAGTGCTTTTTATAAGCATCAGTGAGGATCTAGTAGCACACACCTGGTGTATATGTAACAGAATCCTTCACTTGTTTGGCTTTCATGGTAACCTGCATGAAAACAACAAAAAGGACTATTAAAAAATTACATTATTTGGGCTATTAAAGAATTTATTAGCAGCTTACTGCAAAATACCAGCACTGAACACACGTTAAATATGGTGAGACTGATGTTCTTCTGCTGGCTTTGTTCATATATAGATCCCAGACTGACAAAAAGTAACTTTCTAGACTTTGCCCTTTCTTAAACATTCCCAGCTTATTAAAATAATGTAAGCAATGCTATACATTTCTATTACTATCACCATAATACATCACATTTTATACTCTCATTTTGTTTTCTTTCAAACCCTAAGTCTGTAACCTAAAATACCACAAGAAGGGGGGGGAAGGAAACAAATTAATTATCTTCTATATATATATATCAGTTTCTTAATACTAAACAAAGTAAGAAATTAACCCAGGTAGGTCCAGATGATGAAGCATGCTAACAAACAGGCATTCACACCCAACATAAAATATAACAGTTTGTCTGCCAAAGATCAGCAAAGACACCTCCTATGTCCTGATACTTCTGGAATATAAAAAAAAAATATTGGTGAGAATCCAAAGGATGGAGAGCTGCTTGCTTCAATCTCTCCATGTATACTGAAATCTCTGTCCTGGGAGAAAAGCCATGCCAGATTCAGCATTTTCATTTCTACTTAAGTAAGAAAATAAACAGGCTTTCTCCCTACCTAGAATGAGGAGCTTCCCTGTCCCAAATTCCTAGACCTCACTATAGATAACAAAAAAAGACAGGCTTCATGAAAAATTTAATCATTTTGCATCTGTGTTATATAAAGTTATCTAGAATCCAAAATTCAAGTACCATGTAACAGCATCTTAAAATGTAGTACTCAAAAGAAATATATACACTTTTTGATCACTGAAAATGCTTTATGAATACCAGACTTCAATTTTTTTTTTTTAAATTTTTTTTTTTTTTAATTGGAAGTCTTTCTGAAAAAGCTAGAAATTTAAGCAAGTAGTCTGGGACACCAAATCCAATAGACCTTCCAATGTAAACAGGCACACAGCGAGTCAGAACTGATGCCACCTGGTATGGGTGACTTGTGTTTCCTGCAGCCTGACCTGGGGACTTGAGATGTCACCATCCGTTCAGCGTAAGGCAGTTGGTAGTGTGCTCCCCAGAGCAAAAATAAAAAATACATCACTTACAAAGGCAGAAATTCCTCCATGTGGGATCATTAACATTAACATTAACAATTACCCTCTACACAGCACAGCACCAGAGAGCAAGCCTGCCAGGGGGTTGTACAGCTCTTTGCTGGAAGAAGAATAAAATATGAAGATTCAGGATTTTTGTTCTGTGACAAGATTCATAATTGAGTACTTCAACAGCTGAAATACTCTGGTAGGACCAGCTTCTACTCTAGTCTGCTTGGTTCCTCCCCCCCCCCCCCCCCTTTTCACCCTCGACTTGCGCGGCGTGGCCTTT